ATTTTTTCTCACAAGTCCTTTTTACCCCCCATATGTTGCTTTTACATTTCTCTGTCTCCTGTATTTAAATTACCTGTGCATTTCTGCTTCATTATGTAAAAAAGGTGGGCGGTTCTTTCTGGGTCAGCTCCTCTCCTATTGGTCAAAAGACAGGAAAAAGCATGAGCCATGTGCAGATCTACTGTGATTTGAATGGGCTTAAATGAGGGTCCCCTTTAAAATGATACCAAACACAACATTATAAACCTTTGACCAATAAGCTTCAACCAGCTATGCATCAGTGTCAAAGACAGAATTTTTCTTGAAATGGTAAATATACTGAACTTATATAGCGCTTTTAAGTCCCTCCAGACCCCAAAGCGCATTACACTTACAGACATTCACACACTGATGACGGTAAGCTACATTGTAGCCACAGCTGCCCTGGGGCACACTGACAGAAGCGAGGCTAAACAGGTTATAAACTTTGTGAGCTGATAACCGTAATTTAGCTACCACTCTGGAAGGGCTATCATACCAAAATATAATCTACAAACATGTATCTTTTCAAAACTTATGATGAAGCTTTGCCACCCTGAGATGGAAAAAGCTGAACCATTATCATCCAAGCCACATTGTAACTTCAGAAATTAAGAAATATTCAGACGCAGCGCAAGTTTATCTCCGAAATACTCGGCACTTTCAACAACTTTGATAACACATTATGTCACAAATCTTTACTTTACATGGTTTAGTTGAATATGGTACAGCAGCATGTAATAAAATGACAGACAAAATTCAGTTTCACTAGAGATAAGCTGCCTCTAGATGTAGCTACGTCCCACCATTACTTCCACCAGAACTGAGTCAGTTAGACTCAGGTGTTCCATAAAATTTCCCTCATAGGACATTGTTTTATGACCTTCAGTAAACAGGTTATTTTAGATTCGATTTAGGTCACCCTAAGTCTTATGTTTCAGCCACTTCTAAGAAATAAGAGAGCTTTTGTTTTTCATTAATTGACAGTTGTCTGCTGGGAGGGTTTGCAGCTCACTTTTGTTTTTGTAAGAGAATGCAGTCCAGCAGGATGTTCTGTTTAGTTATCGAGGTCAGGTAATACTTCAACGAAACTTCAGTAGAACATGATCGTTCAAAGCACATATGAAGAGATCTTTAGATTTGAATGAGTCTAAGTGGTTTTAATGTGACCAAATATCGTTTTGTAGCTTATCGTTTTCAAGAACAAGATGACATCATTTTGTTTTTCAGTTGACAACCTTGAATGACTGGCTGAGCCACATAGAGGGCTAAATATGAGTAACAACAAACACTAAAAAAACTAACTCATCTGCTCCTCTCAGCTTTCAGCAGGACTTTAAATGTGTCATGTTATTTAACATGCGTTTTGTAGGAGATAAAACAAAACTTAGCATTGTTTTAATGGAGTCTGTTGTTTGAAAATGTAAGGCCATCTATATTTGTATTTTAATTTCTAACCCAACTGTCCTGTCACATGCGCAGACTTAATCAGTGGGCCACAACATGACTCAGTGAAAAAAAGTAATGGTGCAATCATCCGTCTGCTGTTGCAAAATCTAACCTGAGGACAGATTGATTCTGGTCGTGTTTTTATTTATATCTACACTTGGAAACTGACCTGCAGATAACTGTTGGGGATAAAAATAGATCTGACTGGTACCTGCCACAGTTACCTCAATGTGGGGWGGGATCACACCAGTTCAGTGTGATTTCTAACCTCACGTTTGAGCTGTGCGAACACTCCAAGTCCTAATGCCTGATAAAGTAATCTGTGAGACAAAATGACAGTTTTGCTCAACAGGTGGCACATTATTTTGTTACATATCCAGTTTAAGTCAAAATATGGCAGCTTTTTTACATAACTAAACCACCTGTAAATCCAGAGTATCAGAAGAAAGTATTCATAAAGCTAAACTAAACCGTCAAAGTGTGGTTTTAGTGTTACTTTAAATCTAAATAACATAGTTAGCTTTAATGAGATTATTTTAAAACAGCATTTGGTCCATTTTTGTTTTGTAAATGAAGTTTTTGACTGCAATCTTACCTAGTCTTTGACAGCTTCGCTGTTGGCCACGCCTTTCAATTTTTTGTCCAATTACAAGGCGGGATGGCGCGGACCAGGATGTGGATTCAACCAATCACAGCGAGCCTCTACGAACCGAGCGCTATTACCTGCAGGCTCCATCACTGTCCTAGCTAGTGTTTCATGTAGGCTAAGGTGTAACGTTGSGAGTACTTGATGCTGAAGACACCACCTAAATTGTCGAAAAATCGGACATTTTGTAGCTTTTAAATGTTTATTTTTTTAGCGAAACGGGGTGAGCTTTAAGTACGCTTATTGATTTTAAAGCTGGAGCTGTCAGGAGGACCACTGTACGGCTGTTGTCATCGTTGCTGCATTAGCGACCTTCAGTTTCTATTCAAGACTAGGCGTAAACAAAGACTCGTTTGAAGGGCTTTCGTTTTGGCATTTTATTTTTTTGTTATTTTGGCACTTTCGCCTGCAGAGGAGGAGGATGGGACCTTTGCTGCGCTGCGGTTTTCTGCTGTTTTTTCTCGGCACTTTCTCCACCGGCTTGGATTTCCAGTCGGGCTCGGAGTCGCTCGGACGGTCTGTGTTTGTGAGGCGTTCAAATGCCGCGAAAATCGCCAAGAGGTCCGCGTCCTCCTCGTTGATGGGTTCCTCGCCAGATCACAGGATAAAGCGAAGAAGCGCCGATCAGCAGCAGGGGGCTTCCTGCCAACAGCACCAAGGATTTAAGAACAAGTTGGACGCCAACACCCACGATGTAAGTTTCCTTTTGCAGGTCCAGTTTCACATTTACCGAGCCCGGGGAGGATGCGCAGGTGCTAATCCACCACCAGGTGCAGGCCTTAATCTGCTCATTAAAGTTCCTCTTTCTGCTGTTTTCAACAAACAAAGCGTACTGTCAGAACAAAATAATATCAGCGACACTATGTTGTTGAAGTAGCCCTTGTTGCTAGTTAAACTGTAACTACACTTATACTCTAGAAACCTTTTTACCTCAACCTAAGGTTCATCTCAGGGTGGGGGTGTCCAAAGTGCTTTAAGAAGTTGAGGCCAATGGAGGTGTTTTGAAAATAAGTGATAATTCTTATAATTCTTAGGCTTAAAAGAGATGAAAATCTATTCTGAACACATTCAATTTTAAGTAAAAAAACAAGTTGTCTTTCATTAATGGTGTTTATCAATTTTATTCAGATTTTATTGTTTAAAGAACCAGAAACGTTTTAAGTACAATTAAGACTTTRCTGAATACAGGAAGTGTATTTTATGTTTAAAAATGTTGATTTAATTATCAATAGAAGGAAACTGGATTTTAAGGGAGTATGGAGTGAGCATAATTTGCTTACAATTTGATCACCTTTAAAGTCCCTTCAWATCTATTCTTTTATGGATCAGTTTGCCAGCTGTACACTTTTTCTGTGCTTCGGTTGCTCTTTTATGAGAGGTCTTCCATTTGTGAGTGGTTCAAGAAGACACAATATGTAACGCCCATATGGTGTTCGAATGGCAAACCGACACAATTTTTTTAGTTCAAGTGTCTACCATCAGTCGACTCATCACTTTTTATGACTGTTTTCAAAGGAAAGTGACTCATATTACACTTTTTCCCAGAGAATGAGAAAACACACACATGATAACAAGAGTAAACCCAACAAGCCAATAGAACTGAAAGCTGTTTTTTAATAGAGTAAATGTTTGTGAGTTTTTTTATCTTTTTGTTCTACAACAATTTAGAACACTGTTTTCACTAAAGTTAGTTTACTTTTGTCCTTTCACTAAAGTATTGTTGTTGAAAGTCTAAAACAAAACTTTAAACAGTAAATTTTGTGGCCTGCAAGTACTTTTCTTTAAAAAATTGTTTTGTGTGTCAAAAAGTTTGGAGACTGCTGCACTAAAGGCTGTGATCCAAGCACTTTTCTTCTCAGGCATGAGTAAACTCTCCCACTTCTTTACTTTCATTTAGAGCTGAAGTCCATTATTGGATGCTGACAGGATAATTGACTCAGGGGGAATCCATGTGACTGGCTGTATGGAAGTAATTTAAAAATAAAAGCTATGATTGTGTGATAGTCTTGTTATGATACAGAGACTACAGTGTGTGTTTATGGGTTTTTTTTTTACACGCAGAGAGAACACTATACACAGCTGATAGCATCTCACACATGCTGCAAATAAACAAATGAAGTTTATGAAAACCCTGTGCTGCTTATTTGCCTAGCTCCTCGCTGCCATGTGAGCAACTTTGCATTGCAGTTTTTGCACGCTCCGCCCGGTAATCTCCGGTCAAGAAAGTTCCCAGAGTCTTTTTTTTTTCCCAGAGGTTACTTGCGCTGGTCCCACTGACTCAAGATCGTCTTACAGGATGAGCTGCTGGGAACAATATCTGTGAGGAAAAATAGGCCACAAAATGTTAAGAACTCAGACACGTTGCAGGTCTCTCTGATAAAAAAGGCAAATGTTTTTTTTTTCTTTTTAGTCTGAGCCATTCTGATGACTAGATTTAACTTGCACAAACCTTAAGTCTGAAAAGGACTCTGTTTGAGTTTCAGTAATTGTGTTCAAAAGTTTACTGAGAGCAAGTGTTTTGAATTTTTATTTATTTTTTGTTATCGTTTGAGTCAGTGCAATTTCAGTTTGTATGGTACATTTTGTGATCTCTATTTTTAGACTTGAATAGAGGACTCCCACTCCCAAATGACACAAAAATACTCTGTTTGGAGGGACTGGATCATATATTTCTGTTGCACTTCACTCAGAAACTGATACATTTATGTGTCTAAATTGTTTCACTTATTTGTATGTTTCTCTGTTTCTCAGTATTCATTCAATGACCTGAGTGGTTCAGTTTCACTGGCCTGGGTTGGAGATGGCACCGGGGTGAGTGTTGCACTCATCTTTGCTTCTTGGAGTTCATTGGAGAGGGTTGATTTCCTCACAGCAGAAATCACACAATCAGTTTCCTCTCATCCAGTTTCACCATAGTTCTGTAAATAATTGCTTCATTTTATCTAAAGTTTAACCTTCATTCCTCACAGGTCATCCTGGCTTTGACAACTTTTCAGGTGCCTTTCTTTATGCTAAGATTTGGGCAGTCCAAACTTTACCGGAGGTAAGTTGGACGACGACCTCGTGTTTTAGAAGAAGTGTACAGCTTGTGTGAAACTGCATCTCATTCTGCTGCAACCACCTGTCTGCCAGTGAGGACTACGGGAAGTCATTCACAGACGTGACCGCCTCCATCAACAACACCTTCATCAGATCAGAGATTGGCATTGCGATCGGTCCTGAGAATTCAGGCAAAGTAAGCCACGCCCACTTTAATCAGTCACTTGATTTAGTTCATTTAGTATTTTTGTGGTTTTAGAAAGATTTCAGTGTTTTTGCATAAAGAAACTTGTGGCTCTTTGACTTGTAGGTGATCCTGACGTCTGAAGTCTCTGGACTTGAGGAGTCTCGTATTTTCGTCTCTGTGGATTTTGGAAAAAGTTTCACCTCCAGGGATTTGCCTTTCAACTTACTGATGCAGGTCTCATACAACCCTGAGGACCCTAAAGTGCTGCTGGTTCTCAGCATCAGTGTAAGTGGTAAACACACAGGAATATTATTATTATTATTATTATTATTATTATTATTATTATTATGTAATTTTTTATTTTTTGTGTGAATGAAAGAAACTAGTTTGGATTTTTAAAAATGAACTTAAAAGTCCATTTTTTGAGCAGTTAGCATTTATAAATGAAAGTAAAGCAAAGTTTAGCTTTCATGGATGCTAGACAGTTTAAATTATTTGTTTTCATTTTCAAAAATAGCATACCTTTTTTTAAAAACATTGACATATTTTCTGAACATTTTAACAGAGCACTCAAATAGATAAAAATGTACTTATTTCAATAACCTGGTTTAAACCAGACCCTGTCCTTCACTTTGCTTCGTACAAGGGTCTGGACTTGCTGCATAGAGAATTGATTTCTTGCAGGAGGCGTGGCCTCTGCTGAAGTGTGTGTGTGTGTTTGTGTGTGTGTGTGTGTTGTCGGTGTGAAGGAGGCTAAGCTAAGAAGCTAACTGGAAATCACGTGTGCTGTAAACAACCCTACTGAGAGGAGAAATATACCGAGCCAAACGAGACGATTGTAAATGAGAGCTGCTGCTTTGTCAGAGAAATTTATTTAATTTGGAAGCCTTATCAACACGGACTGGCTTCATTCACTTCCTCCACTGCTGTATGCTAAAATAACTAGTAGATACTGCGCAGAACATCGACGTCRTTCAAAACTCCTCCTTCTGTTTGCTGATTGGTCCAGGTAAAATAAACTACAAGCAGACACTGTGCAGAAAATTGACGTTCTGTTCTCTGATTGGTTCGGCTAAAAATCTGCCAACGAAATCCATCTCAATGGGAGAAGTCCCAGACGGAGCAGTGAAGGGAAACTAGAATTGAGCGGAGCTGCATAGGAAGGCAAGGGCCAGGCTTTCAACAGTTTTTAGTTGTATTTGGGACAGTTTAAAAATGTTTATTAATCTTTTATCAGCAAAGAAAATGTAGTGATGTTTTAAAATGAGGTAACTTGATGAATTCAGGAGGCCGAGCAGCCTTAGCAATTATTGCCTAGCATTAAAAGGGTGTGTGTCTGTCTGTCTGTCTGTCTGTCTGTCTGTAAACAAGTCGTCTCATGAGCCACTGGATGGAATTTAATGAAACTTTCACAAAGTAAATCTTTGGATGTAAATCTGCAAATAACAAACTTTTGGAGTTAGTCCAATKCAGAATTTCTGCCACAGCCATAAATAAATACTAAAAATATGAGATGATTTTGGTCTAAAACTTTGTCATGAAAGGCAGCAAGTGATATTAGTTTCTTTAAGGAATGCGATGCCTTTAAATGTTATGTGTGTGTTTTCGCAGTGTGTGTTTATTAACTTGGCAAAGTTTACGAGCAGGTCTATCAGGTTCTGTGTGAACCTTGTAAAGAGGGGGGTGTTTTTTTCCTCCGCAAACTCTTGAGTTAATTTTTTTTTCTTTTCTCAGTATGAACTGTGGCTTTCTCAAGATTTCGGCAGCAACTGGAAAAAGATCCACGACATGGTGTGTCTGGTGAAATGGTGAGCAGCAAGAATAACTCGTGCCACCTGAACCTGTGTCAGGTGCTCGGTGAACAAACACTCGGCCTTTTGAGTCTATCCTCAGGGAGAAGTGAAGTGGAAAACCAAGTTCTTGCTGTCTTTTCTCTCTGCAGCTCTTTTGTCGTAGTTTTAGTTTGTATAAGTTGCAGTAGGAAATGGTGTCGTTCCTCCCCCTCGTGCTGTGGTTTGTGGTGATAAAAGCTAAGAAGGTTCAAACCATAGGCTGTATGAGGTTTGAACACATTTTTCACACGTTCTTCTTTAGCTGATATGTGAGGTGTAACTAACTATAGATTTTAACAGGATGCTGCATCAAAAACCTTCAAAATACTTCCAGAGTAATGAACACGTGTTGCTTGCCAAACATGTCACAACACTGGATTAACTTGTTGTTTAGAGACTCTTCCTGTTAGRAAACACGGCTGTGCACTCTTGTTTCATTTTTAAAGCAGCTAAATAAAGTCTGAGTCTGAGAACTACGTTCGTAATGGTGTTTTTAATGCCGAGCATGTTATCACCACCTCAGGAGACACTGACCTGAGCTTTCTGATATTAAAAATACATTTATTTCAGGAACAGCATTAATTAAAATAAGAAAAAATGTATTGATCACTACTGGCAGCAACAACGTAACAAAGAAAAGGAAGAAATATACAACTTTTAGTTCATTTTAGTTGTGAATTCTGAAGAAAAACAAAGCATTTTGCGTTTATTTTACTCACACATCCCTAACAGATTTTTCCAAATTTTTCTATTTTTGCTTTCAGGGGAAGAAAAAATACCATCATCTTTACATCTGCCAACAATGGGTCTTGCAGTAAGTGATCTGTAACCAAGCATGGGGAATTTCAGCTCACGTGTTTTAGATTTTTGTTAAGACAATATAAAAAAATGACAGCATATTACATAAAGAAAGAAGTATTAAAACATGTAATAATAGTTTTTACCAAAGAAAGCAGTGTGTTAATTATCAAGATTCAGCCCTAAGGCCCATCCTGGAGTCTGTTGCACAGAAATATTTCAGTTTGTTATTTCCTGTGTGTTTCAGGTGATCGAGGAATGTTAGAACTGAGGAAAACAACAGATTATGGTAAAACCATCAAAACTGTTGCCAATAAGGTCTACTCTTTTGGTCTGGGTGAACGCTTCCTCTTCGCCTCAGTCATGACRGGAAAGGTCAGTATCAAGATGAGATGGTTAAAACACCAGAGAAATCATTTCTAGGTAGTCTTAAGAAAATGACCGAGAGGAAAAAGAGACGTTAACTTATCAATGGTTTGTTAGAGGAAGTATTTTGCTGCTGATGGAGAAATGGTTTAGACCACATGTGTCAAACACAAGGCTTGGCGGGCCACAAGACTCCCGTGTGGCCCGCCAGGG